GATCTCAGACCGTTAGGGCTGGAGCCAGGACTGGAGCGCAGGCTCCTGTTCTTAGCCCATCCTTCTGCCCTATCCTGCTATTCTGGGAGTCCACCGCCAGCCTTGGTGGGAGCCAGTGTTCTGTCCTCTGGATGTGGGGCAAGGAGACGGCAGTGTCCCTGAGTTGAGTAGGAGGGTTACAGATAGGGTAAGGCTGTGGGAGCCCACAGGGCTTCACTCTCCTCACCCAGGTCTTCTTCCTGGCAGCTGGTGGAGGCCATTGTCCTGCCAATGAACCACAAGGAGAAGTTTGAGAACTTAGGGATCCAGCCCCCAAAGGGGGTGCTGATGTACGGGCCCCCAGGCACGGGGAAGACCCTGCTGGCCCGGGCCTGTGCTGCGCAGACCAAGGTGAGTTCCTTGGGAAGGATGGGGGGAGACGGGCAGGAGCTGAAACTTGGCTGGGTGGGCTTGAATCGAAGGGGCCTCTTGTCATGCCTTTGGCCTGATTCTGTCACCCCCACCCCAGGCCACCTTCCTGAAGCTGGCCGGCCCCCAGCTGGTGCAGATGTTCATTGGGGATGGTGCCAAGCTAGTCCGGGACGCCTTTGCGCTGGCCAAGGAGAAAGCGCCGTCTATCATCTTCATCGACGAGCTGGACGCCATCGGCACCAAGCGGTAAGGGGCGCGGGGTGCGGGGTGCCAGCAGGCTGGTTGCTTTGGATGTCCGTGCTCCCACCCTGCTTGCCCTGGGATGGCGGCGGCTCTCTGCATGTGCTTGTACTTCTTCATCCTCTTCTGACTCACCTCCCTGCTTCGTTTCTTCCCCCCACCATCCCCTCTCCTCACAGCTGCCAGCAGGTTCCTCCCGAAGCGTCACTCACCGGCTCCCACAGCCCCTCGGGCAGGCAGAGCCTGCTTTCCCCTTCTGGGCCTCCCCACTGCTCTGTGGCATACATGCTGGGCTCGCCACAGCCTGCAGGGCCCCCATGTGGTGCCCCTGCTCCCCTCCCGCCCCACCCCGTCCCTGCCCTTGCCTCCCCGCCCCCCGCCGGGCTTAATTCCAGGCGGCTCCGCTGTTTGCAGGCCCACTCTTGCAGGCCCACTCGTTGACAGAGATTTGCCACCTGCTCTTTTCTCTCTGGAATGTGCTTTTCCTTCTTCCCTGATCTCCACTGGTTGGTTGCCCAGTGATGTGTTTTCAGCCTGAGGGACAGTTCCTCGGGGACAGCTGCCTGGGCCCCCTGTTCCATGCCAAGTCTGGGCCAGATCTCTGTATTTCTTCTGAGTTTTAGCTCAGTTTGTGATGGCACCTTCATCAGGGGCGCAGGCCAGCCAGTGGGTTTGCTCACTGTTTTGTCCTCACTTTGGCACCTGAGCCCAGAAGCCTCTCATCTCTGACACCATTTCTGTGCTGGTCCCTGGGCTGGGCGAGACTTCTCTCTGCCCCAGGATGGGTTGGGTTGGGCTTCTGTTGGTGGAGCAGGGGAGGGCGCCCCCCGAGCTGTGGTCTCACCAGTGTCTCCTTCGGGGCCCAGCTTTGACAGTGAGAAGGCCGGGGACCGGGAGGTGCAGAGGACCATGCTGGAGCTGCTGAACCAGCTGGACGGCTTCCAGCCCAACACCCAAGTGAAGGTGAGCGTTGGCATCACTTCACAGGGGAAGAAGTGGGGCTGAGAGATCAGGGGATCTTCTGTTGTCTCAGTGGCGCAGCTCGAGTTAGAATTAGAGGCGGTCTTGAACATCCCCTGCCGTCTCCCCTGAGCCGGGTCGCCTCCTTGCCTGTCGTGGCCGTGCCTGCTGCCTCTCTCCAAAGCTGCCTCCTCCTTCAAGCGGCCGCGTCTCCTCCTCAGGTCATCGCAGCCACCAACAGGGTGGACATCCTGGATCCCGCCCTGCTCCGCTCCGGCCGGCTGGACCGCAAGATCGAGTTCCCCATGCCCAACGAGGAGGCCCGGGCCAGAATCATGCAGATCCACTCCCGGAAGATGAACGTCAGGTGGGTCAAATCACACACGAGGCGCTGAGACGTCTTCTTAGGACTGAACTTCCCTGGGCTTCCCCTCTCCCTCCACCTCCCGTTCACACGGCGCTGTCCCTGCAGCGGTCTCCGTTTCTCCCAGGCGCCTGACCTGATGCAGAACCTTACTGGGGCCTGGGATCCTCAGAGTTCCCCTGCACACACCCCCTCCCCCGGGACTGCAAGGTGTGCCGGCCCGGGCCGGTTCCTGGCCTCCCCCGCCCCAGCAGGTGAACACAGCCCAGCCTGGCCCAGGGGAACCCTGCCAGGGGCCAGGCAGACCTGGGTTCAGATCTTTGTGACCATCCGCAGGTGGCATAAGCCTGGGTTTCCTTCCTGGGACTTGGGGATGAGTGCTCCAACCTCACGGGGCTGTGACCATGTCTGGTGCAGCACTCAGCGCAGGAGGGGAGTCAGCGCAGGGCTGTGCTGGGTCAGGGCCCGCGCCGCCTGAGACAGATCACTGTCTTCTGTCTGCACAACCTCCTGCTCCCCCGGGCCGTGTCCCGGAGTCCAGGTGCATCTCGAAGGCTGGAGACACTAGAAATAACTTGGTCTAACCTACTCTGACTGCTCCCTGCCCTGTGCAGCGGAGGGAAGAGGCATGGTGGGGACGGGACTCGCCTGTGACCCGGGCAAGTCGACCTCACTGCCTGAGGGAGTGTGTCGGGGACAGATGCTCTTCCTGCCCCCTCCCCGAAAGTCACGGAGTCTCCCCCTTCCTCCCCACAGTCCTGACGTGAACTATGAGGAGCTGGCCCGCTGTACGGATGACTTCAATGGGGCCCAGTGCAAGGCAGTGTGTGTGGAGGCGGTGAGTGTGGGCACTTCATGCCACCGCCGTGGTCAGGGGAGGGGCTGAGAAGGTGGAGGCCTCCGGGAGCTGGGCTGGGGCGTGGGGAGGGACCCGAGAGCCTGTCTGTCCGTCCTGGGGGCTGGGGCGTGGGGAGGGACCCGAGAGCCTGTCTGTCTGGGCACAGGGCATGATCGCGCTGCGCAGAGGTGCCACGGAGCTCACACATGAGGACTACATGGAGGGCATCCTGGAGGTCCAGGCCAAGAAGAAGGCCAATCTGCAATACTACGCCTAGGGAGCCTCCTCCGGGGAACACTTGCAATAAAGGATGGTTTCCGGTCCCTGCCGCCGGTCTGTCTCGCCTTCCCCGGGCCTTGGGTGGAGGAGTTGGGGTGTATGCCAGAGGCCCTTGCCCCAGTGCTGCTGCTGGAAACCCGAGCGAGCCATGGGCCTCAGACCAGTTGTCAGGGCGAGGCCCCCTGGCAGGGATGGGTATGTGCCCAGCTGTTCCCTGGGGTCTTCTGGCCTCCAGACCCCTCTGACTGCACACTCTCCACCCCACCTCTCAGTCTGAGCTTCTGAAAATTCTCCTTAACCTGCAGCTCTCCCGAGGGGCCTACACAGAACCCAAACTAGTATTGCCCCTCCTTTTGAATTTTGGTGTTCTGGCCCTCGACCCTGCTTCCTGGTAAAGCCAGGCTCTGGGCCTTGGCTCCATGGGTCCTGGCTGCCAAGCCTTCTGTTTTTCTCCACGTCCCTGTTCACTGTTGGCCCACTTCCTCTGGCTGAAAAAAGAGCTTCAAGCAAGATCCACTGAGAGCCCTTCTAGGCCTAACCCTGGTCACGCTGTGTCCCCTCCCACCCCTCGTCCTGCCCCAGCCTCGTCCTTGTGATGCCCCACGTCCGGTCAGACCCCTTTACCATCTTGCTGGTCCTCTCTGCCCGCCACCCTTGCAGCTCTGCCGCCTGAGAGCCGACCGAGTGGTTCACCGCTGGCTGAGGGCTCACCCTGGGCCACGTGCTTTGTGGGGCTTCTGTGTAATTGTATCTAGTTAATCTCAGCCACCAGTAGGGCACCCCTGTTTTATGGATGCATCTGAGCAGCTGGGCCAAGACCACACAACTCTTAGATGGCACAGCCAGGATTCAAACCCAGGACTGAGCATGAAGCCTACTGTGTTGTCGTTAGCAGGTTTGACTGTCCCCCTCCCCGCTCCGCAAACGGCCTGTTAAAACAGCAACCCTTCGAGAACGCCCCATCGGCTCTCACGTGCACCCTGGCGAGAGCCCCTTACCCTTGTTTTCCCATCCCCTCGGAGGGGCCTTGCCCAGGATCCCAGAACTGCTGCTGACTGCCAGCCCCACCCCTGACCTCGGAGCCCCATCTGTAAACAGGACCTGGCTGCCTCCCACAGCAGGCTGAGTGCAACTGCGCGTGCACCGCCGCCTCGTGCCTCCTGGGGGGGTGGCGGGGGCTGGGGGACAGCCCTGGGTTCCTCCGTTCCGCCAGGCCTGGGCCCACCAGGCCCCGGCTGTCACAACCAGGTAGAGCAGGTCCCTTTTCACTGAAGATAGCTAGTCAGAGCCAGGCCCTCCCCGGCCAGGAGCCAGCCGACCTGGGTTTCACACCCTGAACCAGACCCTGCGATGCGGTGCAGACGCGTTCCCCCCACCCCCAGCCTGTCAAAGGTGGGAGAGGAAGCGGGGCTCCCCATCCCCCTTCTCCCAGGAAGCAGCTCCCTCCCATGCCTGATGCCAGCTTTACTCTCAGTGTGTTCACTGGAGAGGAGGGTGTGGTTTAGAATAAAGGTCTTTTTTCCTTTTTAACAATAATTTCATGGAGGCCAAACCTGGAGACGACTGTGGGTGGAGCTCCCGTCTGCGGTGACGTTACTCAGGCCAGGCTGGGAAAAACCCCCTGGTCTGTAGGTCTGTGAGGACACCAGCCTTGGGGGTGATGTGGGCTATAATGACCTAGAACCAGGCTTTTATTGTATAAAAAGCTAACAACAGAACAAACCAGGGAAATGTGGAATGTACATACCCTGTTCTGAGAAGCAACTCAAAAGTCTAAGAGTGCAGAGACAGCAGAAGGGCAGGAAGGCGGGGATGACAGGCTGGGCAGGCTGCAGGAGCCGGGGCGCGCAGAGCAGCCACCCCGGCGGGGACGCGGGGTGCCCGGCTCTCGTGTGCAGAACACAGGCGGCCAGTTCGTGTGTATTTATTTGCATCTCGTCTATACAACAGGTCATTTACAGATATAAACGAAACCACAGCAAAACTGCTGTAAGATCCTCAGCCCCTCCTGACGCGACTCCTCCCAACGCCCACGGCCGAGCGGAGCAGCGGGGCTGGAGCCTGGCTGTGGAGCGGGCCAGCTGAGTACCTGGGCGTCGGCCAAGGGAAATAGCTGGGGATTATGGCTTCAGCATTCTCCCAGAGCACATTCCTGAGCGCTGACAACGTGGAGCCCTCGCCACCCCCACCCAGCCCCACCAGCGGCGGGCCGGGCAAGGGGGCCCGCGTGGTGGGCAGGCGGCCACGGTTCCTCGTCTTCCTGCCCCCAGTGCGTCTGCTGGACCCCGGGCTGGCAGGAGCTCCTGAGCGGATGGGGAGGATGCTGGCCCGGGGCCGTGCACTGCCCTGCTGGCTGCCGTTTGGCAGCTGGAGGTGGCAAGAGCTGCCGGTGCTGCCAGGAAGCGGTCACGGCGGAGGGGGGGAACAGGAGCCAGCCCAGGGCTGATGGGGAACAGGTCTTAGAAAGCATCTCCCAGCTCCACGCTGGGCGCAGTAGGACCGTCAGCGCCGAGTGGAGCCAGGGGCGAGGCACCCGCCTCTCTCTTTGGCCTTGGAGCTGGTGAAGGAAGGACCAGGACGCTGGCCGAGAAAAGGTGCCCCAGCCTTGGTCCCTGGCTGCTTGGGGCTGGGTGCACATGCCCAGGGGCTTACCCCTCAGGCCAGGGCCCCCCCGAGGCCCCGGGGGGAACAGCTTTGGGGCTCGCTGTATGCCTGGCTCCTTTGGCAGCTCACTCCTCCTGGCGGCGTGCACAGAGGCCTCTGCTCAGGACCAGCGCTCCCGTGCCTCACTGCTGACTCCGGGGGTGCATGACCACAGGGTGGCAGGGGGAGGAGACCGCAGTGGGCGGGCCCGGGCATCAGGGATCACAGTGTCGGCCTCGCACACACCTCTGGTCACATGTGCACACCACACACACACCCCCCACCCTCTTGGGTTGGAGGCGCACTCGCTCTCTGACACACATGCACACTCACACACGGTCACAGAGTGAATCCGAGTCTCTTATTGCTGTGCAGGGGAGGGGCGCCGGGCACAGTCACTCCACGAAGACCGAGAACAGCACCATCACCACGATGCCCGTGCAGAGCAGAAGCACCTGCTGCAGGGAGCGCCTGCGGGGGGAGAGGGCCGGGGCTCAGGGGGCCGCGTGGGCCGGCGGGCAGCGGGTGGGGGCCTGCCAACGGCAGGGCCGGCGGGCAGCTCACCACGGGTCGTCTTCCTCCAGGAGGTCGGGCAGCACATTCACCAGGGCGATGTAGAGAAAGCCGCCTGAGGTGAAGGGCAGGATCCAGGCCACCGTCTCCTCTGCAGCAGGGGGAGGAGCCCTGACTGGCTGGGGGCGCCAGGTGGCCATGTGTACCGACCGCCGCCCCCCACTCCCCGCTGTGGGGCGGACCAGGGCAGAGCCGGGCTTGGATACCCGGGTCAGGGCAGCTGTGCCCTTCGGCCAGGGCCCCTCTGCGGACCGCCACCACCCCCCACGCCCGTACCTACTCCCTTGGGGGACTGCGCGCAGATGGCAAAGCAGGCGCCCAGCAGGCCCCCCAGTGCCGTCGAGAGCTGCAGCTTGGCTGCGCTCCATCGGTCAAAGCCGGCCCGGAGCAAGATGGCAAAGTCGCCCACCTGAGGGGAGGTCCAGACGATCACTCTGGGCCCGGTGGGGCCAGACGGCCTGAGCATCTCAGGTGTGCACAGGTCCACTGAGCCCCCAGCAGCAGCCCCATCGCTGGGACCCCCGGCCCACATCCCTTCTGCTGGGCCCCCAGTCCTCAGGAGGCTGCAGCGTGGCTGCAATGGTGGTTGCAGCGTGTATAGCCCCAGGTCTCTGGTGCGGCCCCCCAAGCCCCCATTGCTGGGCAGTCCCACCCAAAGTACCCCCCACCAGCTGCACGCCGGCTGATCACGGCGAGCCTATGGCACTCACCTCATGGGGGATCTCATGCAGGAGGATGGCCATGGTGGTCAGGAGCCCGATCTGCAGGGAGTGTGTGTGGGGGGTCTGTGTTGAGGGCACCCACCTGCCCGCTCATCCTACCAGTGTCTGCTCTGGGTCCCTGGCTGGACACCATTTGGCTACTAAAAATACAGCAGCGACTAGAACAGACCAGGAACCCGCCCTCAAGAAGCTAACCATCCTGGGTGGAGAGGCAAGGACTGTGTAAACACTGGAGCCGTGTGACTACACACCGTGACAGGGGCCACGGGGACCGGAGGGACTGCGAGCCAAGGGACACGGGGGGCCTGACTGAGATGAGGGGTCAGCAGAGGCCTCTTTGAGAATTGCTTTTGGAATGGAGGCCTGAGGATGAGAGCAGGAGAAAGAACACTCCAAGCAGAGGCAGCAGGGAGGAGGAAGCCACAGGTGGGGGCGAGGTGGGCCAGTTCAAGGGCAGACAGCACTCGGGGCCAAGCACAGAGGGCAGAGGGAGCCTACTGGGGAGAAGCATCAGGAAGCAGGCAGGGGCCGAGTCTAGCAGCTTGGCTGAGGCCCGTGGTCCCAAAGAGGACGGCTGGGATAAGGTGCCGGGTGCAGGGAGCGTGGCGGAGACAGACTGGAGGCCGCCTCTGGAGGCAGGGCCGCCTGGTCAATGCGGGCCCTGCACGCCCATCGCGATGGCCTACCCCCCGCCCCAGCCTCACTCACCTTCTTGCTCACAAGGAAGCTGGCGGCCACGGCCAGCCCGTGGGTGAAGTTGTCTATGGTGTTGGCCAGCAGGTTGAGATAGCCGCTGACCTGGGTAAGGAGGGACAGGGTTGGGCTGAGCCAGGCAGGCGGGCCTGAGCCGGGGCGGCTGTAGGACGGGGGGCCCCGAGCGGGCCACTCACTTTGATGTTCCGGACCACGGCGCTCAGGCCGGGCTCTGCAGCCGGCTGGGCCAGATAGTGGCCTCCATTGAGCACGGCAGCAACTGCGGGGTCTTTGCTGGGGGCCTAGGGCCAGGAGAAGGGGGGAGAGGTGACATTAGATGCCCCCCACTCGGCCAGGGTAAACAAAGGGAGTGAGAGATGGAGGAGTCAGGGGACACCCCTTTCATCTGGCTGGACTGCGCTGCCCCACCAGCTGGGTGACCCCAGACCCAACAGGCCCTCTGCCTCCCACACTGCTGTCACTGGCATCTACGGGGACCAGTCACGGCAGGGGCTGGGGCCCGGATCCTTCCAGACAAGCTGGCCCAGCCTCCCAGAGCTCCCAGGAAAGGGCCAAGAGACCCTCTTTTCTAAGGGCTTGACTCAAAACCTGAATATTCAATGGAAGGGCTGTTGCTGAAGCTGAAACTGCAATACTTTGGCCACCTGATGTGAAGAACTAACTCACTGGAAAAGACCCTGATGCTGGGAAAGACAGGGTGGGAGGAGAAGGGGATGACAGAGGATGAGATGGCTGGATGGCATCACTGACTCAATGGACATGGGTTTGAGTAAACTCCGGGAGTTGGTGATGGACAGGGAGGCCTGGCATGCTGCAGTCCATGGGGTCACGAAGAGTCAGACCTGACCGAGGAACTGAACTGAACTGAACTGACTCAAAACCTGGGCCTCCAGGCCCTAGCACCACCACAGAACGAAGGCTGACCTGTGTAGGCTCTGGGGTTTGGGGCTCACCTGGCTGGTCTCCTCCTTCCCCTTGCTGTCCAAGAACAACTTCTCCAACACCAGGAAGGTCAGGAAGCCAGCAATGACCCACAGTCCCAGCTGCTGTTGCGGCTGCAAGCTCTGCCCCTCACCACCTGCAGGGGGCAGCACTGACAAGCCAGGCCCGACCAGGCACAGCTTGGAGGTGGGGACCCCCCATTGGAACCGGGGCACTGGGACCACGACCGATGTCCAGGAACCCCTCTCCCAGTCATTCTGCAGGCCTGGGCACCAGCTCCCACCCACTGCCCACCACCCTCCTGGCCCCCCAGGCTGTGGCCTCACTCACCAGAGCTGGCACTGTTCGTGTAGGCCCACGCCTCGGGGAGCAGGTGGAGAAACACGTTGCCCAGAAGTCCCCCCAAGGCAAAGCTGAGCAGCTGTTTCAGGCGTCGTGCCCCAGCTACAAGGCAGAGATACGGGACTAGGAACCGAGGCCTGAGTCCCTGGCCTGACCCCTTCCCCACCCAGCTTACTGGGCTCCTAGTGTGATCTCAACCAGACTGCAGGTCTCTGGAAGGCTGCATGTAGGCTGCTGGCCTTACCGGGCCCCCCAGCCTCCAGTCTCAATAGGGGCTGGTGTTCAGCAAGAATTCACCGCATCCTCCAGGATGCCCGTGGAGCCACTACTGCTCCAGGGCTAAGAGACCGGACAGGTCCCGGCTCCCAAAGCCAGCAGCTGGTTAAGTCTGGGCAGATTACTTCCAGGACTCAGTTTCATCATCTGCAAAGTAGGGACAATTGTATCTACCTGACAGTGACTGATCTTGAGGAAATTAAATGACAACACGTACAGGAAATGCTTATTAAAGAGGAGTTTTTCTCTTCTCAGCCACTGGTACTCTCAGCAAAGTGGCAGAGATCTGACAACTTGTGCAGACTTAGAATATCCAGAGTTGGAAGTGCCTTAAGGGGGCCATCTTGAAACCCTTGGTTCAATAGACAAACTGAGGCCCAGAGGGAAAAGGTGACTTGGTGGCGGGGGTGGGGGGGTACGATCCCAGGGTAGCTACAGCTTCCAGGCTGTGCAACCTTGGGCTCCTCGAAGAACTTCTCTGTGCCTGTGCACAGAGAGTGCCTGTGTCTCCGTCCCCGTTTGTAAAGTGGAGCTAACAATCCAAGTCCTCCCTAGGCTGACCCTGCAGGGATGCTATGAGAGGGGAAGGAGCTCCGGGCCTGAAGAGGGCTGTGTTCACAGCTGCGGTGCCAGCCCTCAGCCCAGTGTCCGGCATGGCTGCGTGCCTCACCGTCTGCTGAATGAACAATTCCTAAGCCTGGCAGGCAGCACAAGTCCCTGGGGGACCCTCGCTTCAAAGCTTCCCAGGGCTGGTCCAGAACTTCTGTGTCGTTGTCCTGGCTAGGGGCGACAGGCACCTGCATCTTTAGGGCTCCCCATCTGACCCTGTTTATCTTTCATCACAGAATGTCACTGTGGACACGCGCACACCGTAGGAAGGGGAAGCCAAGGAAAGCCCTCTGCCACACCTGCGCCCATCTCTCAGGTGCCCTCCCCAGAGGAGGCGGGCTGCCGGCCTCTCCGTGTTCCAGGGAAGGCCACCCTGGGGGCTCTGGGTCTGAGCACCCTTTTGCACGCTGAACGGGGCCGAAGTGAGAGGCGGTGCTTTGTACGAGGCACTGGCTGGTGCACATGGAGCCCGATCCCAGTGCTGGGCAGTCTTCTTTTTTTTCCACGTTAACAGGTTAATTGATGTGGAGTGCTCCATGGCCCACCTTGGGCCCACCACCCCCACCCTTGGAGGGGTCACCATGGCACCACCTGCCACACGAAGCCAGCCTCGCTGCTGCTGGAGCCCGGGACGTGAGCCTGCACACTCCATGCCTAAGCGTGGTTGAAACAGCAAGGAAACTCTGGCCAGAGGCAATGCCTAGTCCCGCTGCTCATCAGGTCTGTGTACAGTGTTTCATGTATCACCCCAGAGGTATAACATCAAGACAGTCTGAGTAGCAACCATCTTCTCCTGCATCATCCCACCTGCCCCACCAGTACCAGCACCCCACGTCTCAGTAAGGTCCCAACCCCAAACTCACTCGCTAAATGTGGTACAAGGTGGCACTCAGGGGAGGCAGGTCTACTTGTGTTCAAGAACCCCCCTCCCAGGTCTGGAAGCCAGGATGGACGATATCCCCCAGGCTGTTCAGTGGCTGGGCAGTCTTCCAAGCGCTTTACCAGTATTAGTTCATTTAATCATCACAGTAATATCTATGAAGCCGATAACTGTTATTCTCCCCGTTTTTAAGGTTGGGACCTTGAGGCAGTGCGAAGTTAAGGAACTCACCCTGTACCACCCAACCGGTAAGTGGCAGAGCCAAGCTTTGAACCCCAGGCAGCCTGGCGTCCTATTTCCAGCCTTGCCTCTCGCTTCGCAGTGAATGTTCGCTGACGTTCGTCTTTCAGGATAAACAGGTGCACAAACGGATGAGCAAATAAGCACAGCGCACCCTGGCTCACTGGACCGCAGGGAAGAACTGTACTCGGTCCAGCCCTCTATCTCAGACACGCTGCCACCTGGGAGGAGACCTGGCTCTCCCAGCAAGGGCAGCGGCATGGTTCCCCAGTCACCTGCCGCCCCCAGGTGCCAGAGGGGCCATCACCCACCTTCTGAGCGCAGCATGGTCCCCATCTCCAAGGGAATGACGAGCAGCGGGAAGACCCCGCTGAGCCCCACCATGAGCGAGCCCAGGAGGGAGCAGATCCACGTCTCCAGCCTCTCACCACTCAGCAGGGCCCCCCAGGACTCACTCTCCTTATTGTCCAGGCGACAGGCCGCTGCCGCCCCCCGGCTCCGGAGGGCCTGCTGGGAGCCCCCAGCCCCTCCCAGGAGCTCCAAGGTAAGGGCAGCGAGGAAGAGGAGCCTCTGTCCCGCCATGCTGGGGCAGGGACATCCAGGCATGCCACGTGCTGAAAGACACACAAAGGCCGCTTATGTGAGTGGCCACCCTTGGCCGTGCACCTGCTTAGAAGACATGACACCTGGACCTTCCCCGCGCTCCCGGCAGCCACGGCGCCCGCCCTCCTGCCCGCCTCTCCCAGGGCCTCCGAGGACCCCTGTGAGGGGTGTACAGAGCAACGGGGCTCTGTTCCTCCACACCCCACTTCCAAGGACACACATTTCTCTTTTTCCTTGGGAGCCATTTCCAGACTTTATGTCAGCCTGTCCGCCTAAGGCTAAACTTTCCTTAATGACAGGGTGAGGCGCTGGCTGGATTCCCTTCAGCCACCGGCAGGCCCGCCCCATCAGGGTGTCTGGCTGCCAGGGGAGAAAGCTTGGCTGCCGATGCGCCCCAGTGAGGACACCCCCAGGGGCAGCGGCCGGCAGCGCTGTCTAGATTGACGGGATGAGTTTAGGAAGTGCAGGTGGTGGGAGCCAAGCAGCTGGGCTAGGTCAAGACCATCAGGGCTTCTTCCTAGGAAATGAGTCTAATATCCTGGGGCCCGGAGACAGATAGGAGATGAGACTGGAGAGGCTCCTTCAGTGACGAGCAGCCTCCCAGATGCACATCCAAGACCCACCCTTAACTTTGTGCTCCACGCTGAGAGCTGCTTGGCTTGCAGTGCTGTGTGCTTAGTCGCTCAGCCCTGTCGACTCTTTGCGACCCCGTGGACTGTGGCCCGCCAGGCTCCTCTGTCCATGGGGATGCTCCAGGCAAGAAGACGAGTGGGTTGCCGAGCCCTCCTCGCCTGACTGCGGACAAGTCCCTAAAGCCCTTCTCTGAGCCCTTAGTCGCCTCCTCTGAGGGAGATCAGTATGGCCTCCCTCCCGTGGTCGTGAGGGTGAGATGAGTTTGCCGGTCAGGTGAGTCTGCCTGGCATGCTGAAGGCACAGACGGCCCTCCTCACGTTAAGGGAGCACCCGGCGGGCAGATCACAGGACCTGGATGTGAGTCAACCAAGAGGGAAGTTCAACCTGGGAACTCAGGCATGAGGTTTAAATGTGGTCTGCCCAGCCTCCAGCCGGCTGTGACCTTGAGCCGGTGACGTTCTTGCCTCAGTTTCCTCATCTGCTGATGGCGGTGGGAGGGAGGGAAAGCAGCTGGAAGAGACGCTGGGGTCTGGGATCTCCAGGCCTTAACGGGACCCTGATGAAACCCACTGGGCTCCACTGGGGACCAAAGGCGGGACTGCGGCCAGGAGGCCGGGCTTGGGAGGCAGAGGCGGGTCACGGTTAAAGGTGAGGGGGCCCCAAGTGTGGAACAGGAGATGGGGGGTACCGAGAGAGTCAGAGAGGAAGAGGGAAGGGGGGTGAAAGAGCGGCAGAGTGCAGAGGGGAAGAGCCAAAGACGGATGCGGAGCCGGGAGAGAGGGGAACGACGCGTGCGGAGACAGGAGAAGAGCCCAAGGAAGTTTGAGCTCCCGGGCGAGAGGCCCAGGTCTGACCTGGACAAGGGGATCGGCAGAGTCCGTCCCGTCCGGGGCTCGGGCCCCGGGCGTCGGGCAGTCACTCACCGTGCGGCGGTGGCGGCGGCGGCGCTCCAGGCGGCCCCGGCCATCCAGCTGCGGCACCGCGCCCCGCCCCGGCTCTGCCCCGCCCGGCCCGGCCCCGCGCCCCCCTCCACCCGGGCCCGGAGCCGCCCCCAGCGCGCGGCCACGTCACACGGGACCTGTCCGGAACCCGGCGCGCCGCGCGCCGCGGGGTCGCGGGGGGAGCGGCGGTAGAGGGGCGCGCTTCCGCCTCGAGGCTATGGGGGACCCAGGAGGCTGGCGCACTTCCGCTCGGGCCGGACCCGGGACGGCGGCGGGGAGTGTCGGGCGGAAGTGGGAGCCGTGTGGGCACCCGGCTCGGCCTGGCAGCGCGAGGGCGGAGGCAGCGGCCCCCGCAGGGACCGCGAGTGGCCAGGGGACTTGGGCTTGCGGGGCCCGGCCGCCGCTTCCTCTCTAGGGCGGCGGTGCCGGCCGCGGCCGCACGGGGGCGCGCTCGGCCGCCGGACGGCGCCGCCCCGGGACGGGGTCCGGGTGTGCGGGGCGGGGGACGGCTGCCGCGCGCTCCCGCTCTGAGTCAGCCGGGCCTGGCTCCTCCATGAGCCAGGGAAAGGGGAAGTGCCTGCCACAGGGAGGGGCTTAGCCCCGGGAACCTCAGAAGAGGGAATTTTATTCTTACTCATCGAATTATTTTTATGCTTTGGTTTTTCACTGGGAACCTCAAGCCTTTTGTCTCCAGGGCTTGTAACCCTTTGGAGTCCAATGCACGGTGGCCCGACGTTGCTGCCCGGTAAACTCCGAACCTTGGGGAGCAGAGACTCTGTGCTTCCCTCACTTTAGACGAAGGCAGCAAACAGTAGCATCATTACTGTGATTATAACTGCAGTTTTAACAGAACATCTACGATGTGCCATTCACTCTGCTGTACTGAATCCTCGGGTCTGTCCCACTAAGGTGGGGGAATGTTACTCCAGGGTCGCACAAATGGCAGAAGCCCGATTCAAACCTGGTGTCCCTGGACCCAGAGCATGTGAGAGCACCTCTCTCTTGCAGGACCATGGGACTCCGGTTTGACATTTCCACTTTTGCATTCTTCTTGGGGAATCAGCCAGGACCATATAATACTAGAAAGGGGCACTTGGGTGCTCCCTTGGGTAGAGATTTTGAGCGGGTTGAGAGTCTCCGAGCCTCTGACCCTCTTCTACTCCTGCGGTGGGTCCTTCATCCGTCATGTGTCACTCTCCGTTACAGGGGGCTCAGACAGCACAGGGCTGTCATGGGCTACACCAGTTGCCCTATTCCACCTCACTCGCCCACGTTTGCCCTTCTTAAGCCCCCAGCTACACAGCGGATCGGCTTTCCTCTGAAACTCCCGTGTGCCTCATCCACCAGGCCCTTAGGTCTGCTGGGGTGCCCTCCTGTTCTGCTTCCAGAATTCTGAAGTAGAAGCCCCAAGTTACTTACTTTGTGAAGGGAGGAGGACGCTCCAGGATGCTGCTTTGGGATCTCTTAAGATGCCCTCCCCACCTATGCAAATCACTCCATCATATGCAAAGCACTTCACAATATACAAATGATTTCACAATAACACAGTCAGCATTCCCGCCACTAGGAGCTGAGGACTGCTGGCCACCAGTAAGGGGATGGGCAAGACCCAGCTAGAAACACCACATGCTGCCTTCTCTCTGCCCTTTCCTCTCACTCGGACCGGAATTTCCATCATTAGACTCCCTAATGTACTGGGGGTTGGGATGAGACTCTGGAAAATGGTCATGAGCCAGAAGAGCCCAGGTAGACTTCAGTGGGGGAACCATTGTGTGGCTGTTAAAAATGGTGAGTTAGACCTGCCTGGGGTTTCCGGATGTGGACGAGTAAGAAAATAGAAATGTAGAAATATATCTGCCAGTTTAAACTCATGACAAGGAGGATGAATAGAGGTATTGGTGTATATATATAATCCCATGTATAATTTTGAGTAAATAAAAACTAAAGAAAATCAGTCTTCCCAGGCGGTCCAGTGGGTTGAGGCGCATGCTCCCAATGCAGGGGGCATAGGTTCGATCCCTGGTCAGGGAACTAAGATCCCACATGCTGCAGCTAAGAGTTCACATGCCACAACTAAAGATCCTGCATGCTGGGGCTTCCCTGGTGGTTCAGTGGTAAAGAATCTACCTGTCAATGCAGGAGACACAGGTTCAATCCCTGATCCAGAAAGATTCCACATGCAGTGGAGCAATAAAGCCCAGGTGCCACAATGGTTGAGCCTGTGCTCTAGAGCCTGGGATCCATGACTACTGAGCCCACACCCCACAAACACTGAAGCCTGTGGGCGCCTTGAGCCTGTGCTCCACAAAAAGAGAAGCCACGACAATGAATCACAACTAGAGAGTAGCCTCCGCTGGCCTCAACTGGAGAAAAGCGCCACGCAGCAACGAAGACCCAGAACAGTCAATAAGTAAATAAATAAAAGTATTTGAAAAAAAGAATCCTGCATGTCACAAGGAAGATCGAAGATCCTGTGTGCGGCAAGGAAGACAAGGCACAGTCAAATTAATTAAATTTTAAAAACATACATATAGAAAAAAGATGGTATTACAGTAATGAAAAGAGAGGACGACACAGGGTGGGGGCCACGCCTGCCTCTCCTTGCTGAGCACAGATGAATGGTTTCCAACACACTTATCAATCGGTTTGGAGGCTTCAGGGATGTCCTGGGTCACGGCACTGGGCCCACACACTCCAGCAGGGCAAGGTGAGCCTGGACGCTGCTTTCTTATGTTTGGGAGGCATATGGCACCCTGGGGTCGGGGTGGCGCAGACCAGTTTCTCTGATTTCACCGAGTTGCCCAGGATCTGACTGTAACATGTTGTTCCTGGCTCTGGTCCCTTTACTGGGGGGCCTTTCTCAGCATCCTCAGCCCCCTGCTTCTGGAAGGTGGGGCTGCTCCTTACCGGGCGATGGCCCGCACTGCCCAGCCCTGCCAACCCTCTCCTCCTCTGGCGGTCCGGGCTGGAGGCCCGGGGGCTGGGCGCCTTCCTCCAGCTTCCAGAGCGTGGCCTTTGAGAAAGCCGGCCTTCTCTGGGCTTTCCGTGGGGGCCTGTGGAGGCAGCAGTCTCTTGGAGAAGGGCGTCTGAGGCTCAGGGGGCCCAGGGTGAGGTGAGGTGGAGCCCAGGGCTCACCGGGGACCCCTCTGCTCTTACTGTGGCCTCGGCTCTGCCTCTCCACACTGGATGTACCCCTCTGGAAGCCACGACCCTAACTCTTTCTCAACTTCTTCTTCCCAGAGAGCCTTAGCTCCCCCGTGATTTCCTGGGGTGCTGTCTCCTCTGAATTTCCAAGCCTGGCCTGACAGTGCCCAGTGACTCCCCCGAAGGCGCTCCCTGTGACCAGGCTCCCTCCCACCCAGCCCTGCTGGGCCCCAGCAGCGCCAGCCCTGCCTCACTGCTTTCTCTGCCAGCTCCCTGCCTTCACTGCCCCCTGTGACGCCCACCTTCTCTGTCAATTGGAATCCAGCCTGTTTACAAGGCCGCCTCCTCTCTGAAGCCTTCTGGGTCAGTGGTCGTGTCTTTGGAACCCGGAGACCTGTCCCCTGAATACACGGGGCTTCTCCACCCCCCACCCTCCTCAGCCTCACCCCGCTGTGGGCTTCTGGAAAGAAAGACAAGCTCTTGCCTATAACCCTGAGAAGTCTGTCCAAATCAATTTAATGTCTCCCTTTCTTCCTCTCCTGCCTCAGGAGCACAGAATGGGATCAAATTCCTGTGCGCTGCACACTGTGTTCTGAGACTGCAGGGCTCTCTTTCATTTAATTTATGTATTTGTAAATATATATCTTTATTTACTTGGCTGTGCCAGGTCTTAATTGCGGCAAGTGGGACCTTAGTTCAGGCATGCAGGATCTTGGTTTCCTGACCAGGGATCGAATCCACAGCCCCTGCGTTGGAAGGCTGAGTCTTAACTCCTGAACTGCCCTACTTAATTCACATTTATTCATAGATTTCCTTACATTTTGCCCAGTCCGAATTCCATATCTCTGCTTCCTTCTTGGGGAACCTGAATTTTAACAATTCTTTTATTTTTAAGAAATATGACAGGCAATATTCTGTCGAATCTGGCTTTAAAAAAAAAAATAAGGAAAAGAGCTCTTTTATATTATTCAGAATTTTATTTATTTTTTAACAATTGTTCTCATATAGGTCTTGCCTAACTCTTAATACACTTCAGTTCAGTCGCTCAGTCGTGTCCAGCTCTTTGCAACCCCATGAACTGCAGCACGCCAGGCTTCCCTGTCCATCCCCATCTCCCGGAGCTTGCTCAAAGTCATGTCCCTCAAGTTGGTGATGCCATCCAACCATCTCATTCTGTGTCATCCCCTTCTCCTCCTGCCTTAGTAAGCTTACTTTTAAGTATTTTGCATTTTACGGGTAGTTAAAAGAATGTCACATTTTAAATGTAGTGCACAGGAAGGCAAATGATTTTTATGCACTCCTTTGAAACCTGGTAAGCCAACTCCATTTTCTCACTGGTTCTGGTCAATTCTCAGTATTACTCTTGAGTCTTTTGGGTGGGTAATCACGTCATCTCCTAATAACAAAAGTAGCAGAAGGAAGGGACCCACATCATCTGTTGTAGAGACACAGTTTGGCTTGGTTTTGAACTTTGTAGGAAGTGTTTGGGGACTGGCTTTTTCCATCAACAACATGGGTACTAAGGGCTCCCCTGGGGGCTCAGACAGTAAAGAATCCGCCTGCAATGTGGGAGACCCAGCTTCGATCCCTGTGTCGGGAAGATCCCCAGGAGAAGGGAATAGATACCTACTCTACTATTCTTGCCTGGAGAATTCCATGGACAGAGGAGCCTGGCGGGCTACAGTCCATGGGGCCACAAAGAGTCGGACAGGACTGAGCGACTAGCACTTTCATGGGTACTAAGACTGATTCACAACATTGGGAGAAGCTTGTTCACTTGCACTGCTGAGCAATGTGCCACTGTGTGAACGAGTCCTCTGTAACGTACCCATTCTCTTTGTCAGTGGGCATTTGGGATATTTCCTAGATTTTTGCTATTCAGGACAGCGCAGCTTTGAATGTTCCCTGTCTCTTGGAGCACACGCCCAAGTTTCTCTTGATTTTAGCCTGGAGGGGGATCTGCTGGGCTTTACAAGATAAGGCCAGATTGTTTTCCCCAGAGGTTGTCTGGAGTGCACTCTGACTAACCAGGCACTGGAGATCCCGTGGCCCCACCTCTTCTCCAACGTTTGGTGCTGTTCATTTTTGCCCTTCATAAGGTGTAAAATAGCATCTTATTGTGGTCTTCATTTGCATTTCTCTCATTGCCAATGAGCTTGAGCATCCCTTAGATGTTGATTGGACAAACGTGTTTCTTCTTCTGTAAAAAGGCCTGTTCGTGTTTTACATCTGTTTTTTTGTTGCATGGCTAGGGTTGTTTTATCGTTGTTGTTTGTTTTTTTCCCTGTGGATTTGCAAGAGTCCTTTATGTATTTTTGATGTTTATCCTTCACGGGTTGGGCCTGGCCGACAGGCAGACGTCTCCTCCAGTTTGTGGCTTGCATTTCACTTTCTCTAAGGTGTCTCCACGTCTCTCTTCCCTCCCACACCTGTGCCAGGGATGCGAGTGTGCGTGCGTGCGTGTGTGCACGCGGGCGCGTGTGTGGCGTGTGTGGGGGGTTCCTGTCCCTCAGAACACCTGGCAGACCAACGCCACTGCCTCTCATGCTCCCTGGGGCGTTAAGGGACCCCGTCGCCCTCCCGCCCTCCCGTATTTGGTGGAGGGGGCCTGGGTGGGGAGCCCCCGTCGGGGTGGGGGTGGACGTGCCGCCGCAGGGAGGGCCTCCTCGCGGTGGTGCCCCCTCCCAGGAGTTATTTATCACTTCCGGCTGCTCACCTGGGGGCCGGGCCCCTCTCTGCTCCGCTGGGCAGCAGCCCGGGCGCTCCCTGGGGGCGGGCGGCCGCGGGGGAGGGGCGCCCCGGGCCAGGCCCTCGGGAGGCGGAGGCGCGGGCCAGGCCTGCGGCGGGGGCTGGGCGGGGGGCGGAAGCTGCCCGAGCAGATAAGAGCCGAGGTCGGTCCTGCGGTGAGACAGTGCGGGACGCCGCCTCCTCCCCCCAGCCTCCGCCCAGCCCTCCCCCGCACCCTCCGGTCCCAACTCCCCGGAGCCACTGTCAGCCCCGGCGGCCCCCTCCCTCCAACCCCGGGGGTTGATGCCCGGGAGCCGTGGGGGATGGGGCTCCAGCCTGCACGTTGTGTTTCCAACCTCAGTCATCTCCGCTGGCAAATGGGGGTAGGAGCTCCAGTTACCCACCCCAGGGCCGTTGGGGATGGGACAGGGGCAGGCTGGTGAAACCCCTTTGTAGATCTGGGACCTTTGTAAAGAAGGGGTCCCCGCGTTCCTCCTATGGCCCCTGCCTCTTCTTGCTGACTCTCCAGGCTTGATCCCCACTATGTAGATGAGGATTTGGGGGACCTGCCTTAAGGCACAGAGCCAGCCGTCAGGAAACAAGTGGGGAGCGGAATGGAACTCTTTCTGTTGCCCCCAACCTGGGGAACAGAGCTAGGTTTGGGGATGCTTGTACACTCTGGGGGCCCTGTTTAAGAAAAAGATTACAAAATCACAAACACAAATTTGCTGAGTCCTCTCCCCGGGCCTTGAAAGGGGTCCAAGCAAGTGAGAAGCGCAAGTCCAGCTTCTGTTTCCTGGCCCCACCCTGCAGGCCCCCAGGAAGGGCTTACACCCCTCCTATAGGAGCCGGTCGGCCACCAATATAGCTGCAGGGTTGGCCCAAGGCAGGACAGCTGGGGCCTGGAGGGGTCCCCGCAGCAGCTGGGCGCACCCCCTTGCATGCCCAGGCAGCCCTCTGCCAGCCCAGCCCAGCCCAAGAGCGAGAGCAGTCAGGCATTTGGGGACTGCACCACAGCTGGGCAGGGCCCAGCCCTTCAGTCCCAGCCAGTCAAGGTTTACTTGCCACTCAGGGCCTCTGACTTGTGGGCTGGCAGTGGTAGGGAAAATTCCTAGGAAAAAAGGAAGGGGGACCTATCTGGGGCAGGGTAAGTGCATCTGACTTGGAGTCACACGGGACTGAGGTTCAAGTCCCTGCAAGACCATGTGACCTTGGGAAGACTCCTTCGCCTTGGTTTCTTCATCTGTAAAATGGGAGTAATAATAGTACCTACTCGTCAGAGCTGTAACGAGGCTTAAATGAGACCATGCATGAAGCAGGGCTGAGCCCTCAGCCTTTAGAAGCAAATTTCCCTTCTGTGAAATCTCCAGGTCAGGAGAGGCATCTTTCTCTCCATATTAGGGTTGTCACTCATGCAGTAGTGGGGGTGGGGGTGGGTGGAGTGGTGTGTCTCTGGTTCCAAAATTGAGATTTAGACCCCATGAATGTCTGGCAGCAAGGCCCTGGTTCTAACCACTCGGGAACACTGCCCCCTTGGGCCTGTCTCCACCCACTGCTAGGTGTGCATGTGCAGGGCAGGGAGCCAGGGGGAGCATTTGATTCAGGAGGCTGCTCACCTTTCTGGATTTTGTAATCTCTGATCTTACGGTCACCTGAGACTGGAATTTTTCTAACTCTGGCATACTTCAGTCTGAACCAGGAGAAGCAGGAGATTCTGGGGATGGAGATGAGCTGGGGAACTGGGAATAGGCCATGACTGTGAACCAAGAACCTGCCTGCCAGTGCAAGAGATGTAAGAGACATGGGTTCTTTCCTTGGGTCTGGAAAATCTCCTGAAGGAGGGCATGGCAACCCACTCCAGTACTCTTGCCTGGAGAATCCCATGGACAGAGGAGCCTGCTGGGCTATACAGTCAATGGGGTTGCAAAGAGTTGGACATGACTGAAGTTACTGGACAGGGAAGCCTGGCTTGCTACAGTTCATGGGGTGGCAAAGAGTCGGACACAATTGAACAACTAAACTGAACTGAACTGGAGCTACTTCGCGTGCACGCACACATGAGCCTGGGCAACAGTGACATCCCAAAGGATTCAAAGTCTTCCAAGCAAAGAGGTGCTGCTTCGCCCCACGTTTGCCTAGGATTTCTTCTGGGTTAATCGACGAGAGAACTGAGTTCTCAGCTCAGAGCTGCCCCTCTCTAGCCAGCTGACCTCACACCAGTCCCTCTGCCCCTCTGAGCCTCAGTTTCCTCATCTGTGTAATGGGGATAAGAATACTTGCAGCTGCGAAGATTACAAGATGTGGTGTGCACAGAGTGCCTGGTGAACACTACCCATTGTTCAAACCGTGTGGCTGTCTGGGGATGAAAGGGGGTGTCTTGGGAGGGCAGGAAGTGTGCGAGTAGACGTGGGGAGTCCTGCCAGGGCAAGAGTTGAGTCTCCAAGGACCCCATCTCACAGATGGAGTGCCTTGGGGAAGGGCTGGGAACCCCAGCTCCGGTGCTCTCCCAGATCAGGACAGGTCAGGGGGAGGTCAGGGGCCCTGGTCGTGCAGAGAAGAGCAGGGAGCCGAGGTTCTCAGGCAGGTGAAAGGGAAGGAGGGAGGAAGTGGGGGCTTCTGGGAGGAGATGGGAGTGGCGGTCGCTGTGTGTTACTGGCCACACGGTCACCGTGAGGCCCCAGACCATGACCTCGTTTGTCCTGCATTACCGGCTTTCAAGTGAGGCCTTTCCCCAGTGGGGAAACCGAGGCTCCAGGAGGCAAGATGACTTGCCCAGGGTCACACACTGCAGGCTCCCCAATCTGTCTGGCCCTGCAGCCCAGACTCTCCAACAGTCACAGCCACTTTCTTTATCTTATCTGCCTGACGAGGTTGTGAGTGAAGCAGCGTGATCTCAGAGGTACAGAGGGATCCTGGGCCCTGCTGCTGTCTCCTAGGACCCCGAGCTCTTGGCTGCCCGTTGTTCAGGAGACACTGCTGGGAGACCCTGGGGGCTGGGGGCTGAGTGAGAGCAGAGACCCCTGAGGAAAGGGGAGTGAGCCTGCCATCTCAGGATGGTTCCAGTAGAAACACCCCAACAGCGGGGGAAGCTGGAGGTGTCGCTCATAACAGGGCCCAAACTAGCCAACCTATCTCTGAAATTCCTTCTTCTTGTCTTAAAAATTCATACAGATTTGTATCCTGTTAAATAGGTGGGCTCCCTCACCCCACGCACACTTTAAAAAAAAATCAGTTTCTACTCTCAGTTTCTGCCTGCGTGGACACTCCAGGAAGACGTGATGTCTTCAGTGACTGCGTGTATCTGGTGCTTGCCCTTTGGACCCCAGGCCCTGGGCCCCTGGTCTGGTTTGAGAAAGTGCAGGGACAGAGTTGAGGTCACTGTCCTGCCCGTTCTCACAGTCCAGGGCTCTCCCCGCCTCCACTCCTTGCTCCGGCCTCTTGCTCTGGCTTTCCCGGCTCCTTTCACAGACGTTTGTCCAGCCCAGCCCGCCGTCCTGCTGGGACTTCTCAGATGCTTCACCCCCTCCCCACCCTTCTTCATGCCCTGAGGGTCCTTGTCCGGAGGGGCCCTGCCCGTCTGCAGCTGTCTATGCAGGGCAGTCTAAGCCTTTGCCTCCCCAGAGAAACAACAGCCTTGTTGAGTTTCCCCACGCCCATTTGGAGGAAACTGAGGCCCAGTGCTGAGAGAGGCTGGGCCTCCAGGGTTCCCAGGGGACCTCCGGGCAGGTGGGGTACCTCGCTAGGCCTGGGGGAGAAGGCACCCAGTCTGGGCCCCCCGCCAGGGATGCAGGAAGGAGGAGGGAAAGCCGTGGGGTGCCGGGGGCTGCCGCCTGGCAGGTCCCTGTGCCCGGGGTAGGGAAGTTTCTTATTTCTCCTGCTCCGACTTCCCCCTTTGATTTATTACAGCCATGAAATGCTCTGCTCTCTTCTCTTTTCCTTGCTGTCCGCGGGGCTGGAGCAGTGCAGGCCCTGCGGGGACTCCCACCTCCTTCCAAAGGGTGCGCCCCGGGGGGGACCCGTAAAGGAGAGGTGAGTCGGGGCAGGTGGGGTGGGACGAGGAGGGGCCCCGACTCCCACCTGCCCTCCCTGCCCCCCCAAGGCGAGCCCCAGGGGGCAGGACCCCAGGGGTGGCAGTCTCGGTCGGGAAGGGCTGGGGCCGGCCCGAGAGGGTGTGGCAGGTGTGGACTTGACGGCAGACAGCTCCCAGGGGCTGTGGGGGTGGCGGGCTCCGAGGCTGTGGCCCCGGGGAGGCTGGCGGATGGAGCCGTCAGGTCGAAGGCCGTCGAATAGTCCTCCCGTCCCAACCCTTAGGCCGGAGAGGCGGCTTCTCTGTGACCCCTGACCCCACATTCTGATTTCACGAGGGCCCGAGGAGGCCTGGTTCAGACGCAGTGGGGGGATGGGGCTGAGCACCCAGAGGAAGGCGGGAGGCCTGAAGCCCAGGCCTCGGGCTCCTCCGGGCCGCCCCCCGCCCCCCGCCCCCCACTGGACACCGGTCCGTGGCCGGGGCCCGGCAGGTGAGGGCTGAAGTCCGACGGCCCGGCCCCCGGGGCGGACCTGGCGGCCGGAGCGTCCCCCGCCGCGGTGTGGTGCCTGTGGTAACCGGGCTGTTGGCGTTTTGCAATGGGCCGGGGGCGGGGAGGCTGCGCACACACGCTTCCTGTGGTGACTGGGCGCTTCCTGTTTTCTCAGGCGCCGGACTTGCTGCTGCCGATGTGGAAACAGGGGCAGCTGCAGCCGGGGTGGCTCCAGGCAGGGCGGCCCACCGACCCTGCCCAGAGGGGGCCTGAGTGGGCCCGCACCGCAGGCCCCGACCCGGGCAGGAGATGGCCCGAGTTACCCCCCAACCCCAGGGCCCCCAGCCCTCCCATCCCCAGCACTAAGAGGAAGGGGCCAGGCAAGGCTGCCGCTCAAGGCCGAGCAGGTGGTCCAGAGGGTCTGAGGTCCAGGGTCGGGAGCTCTGGTCTCAGCTCTGCCCTTTGTCTACTGAGTGTCTCTGGCCCTCCCTGACCCACTCCCGGCCTTGGTTTTCCTCTTTCACGTGAGGTGATCGTGGTACTCATAGGCTAAGATCCCTCGCCCATTTCCGCCCCAATTCTGACAGTCCTTGATTTTTTCCATCCCAAGAGCTTCAGCTTAGAGGATAAGATCCGCCCTGGGACTGGGACCCTCCGAGGAAGGGCTTGGCATAGGCCTCGACAGAGAGGGGTTTGGACAGACGGAGCAGGGAAGAGCTCACCCTCTGGGGGAACCAGACTTCGAATTGAGGTGTGGAGGTCGGGAAGGCCAGGACCAGGTTAGGGAGACAGGGTGTGGATGGGACAGACAGAGAATGGTGGGTGACCAGGCTGACTCGGAAGGATTCCGAGCGGGAGAAAGATTTCCGGATCCCCTTTATTCCTACAAATTTTAGGAAAGGGTCCGGTCCACCCTCACATTATTTCTCAGGAGAAGGATGACTAGGGCTTGGGGCCGGGCCAGCCCTTCCCGGCTGTCCTGCAAGGAGGTGGGTGCCCGTGCGGCATGACACCTGGGCCTTGGGAGGGCCCGGAGCCTTCTCCCGGTGTCGGGTGCCTGGAGGTTCCACCACCAGGACCAGGCCTCGGGAACTTGGCATTGCCTTTTCCCCGAATGTGTGTTGTTTTGTTTTCAAGCTGCTCTTGCAAGAAGGGGAGGGCAGATGACTTGTGCTTGTGGAGATTGCTGACAGCATCTGACGTCTGGAGGAAGAATTTCTTTGCAGGAAGGCTGAGGCCTGGGTGCCCCTGGGGGAACTGACCAGTCCACTGACTGAGTTCAGCCACCCCACTTGGCCCAGGAGGTTCTGATGTGCCCACTTCCTAAGTGGCTTCTCCTCAGTCTCAAGGCCTGTCCATCGTGGACAGCCAAGGACTGGTTCCAGCCAGAGAGGCCTCGAGGATCCCAAGACCCTGGTGCGCAGCCTGAGGGGCCGGGAGGCCGGCCTGGCCCCCGCCATCGCGTCCTCTGCCTTGGTGCCTGGGGTCAGCCCAAGTGCTGAGTTGGCGGCTCCGCAGCTGCTCTTCTGCCCACGGAGGCCCAGTTATAAATAAGCCCAGTGTGGCCAAGTCATCAAGTTCTATCCCAGCTGTATTACCTCAGTGACCACAGGTTGGGGCTGCCCAGAACCGGGCCCGCCAGAACCTGCCCATCAAGCCCAAAGGCCGGGCAGCCTCGATGCCCGCAGGGGTCCTCAATCCCAGGCCAGCAGCGCGTGCAGCTAGCTGCTCAGACCTGGACCTCCCTGGACACGGGCCACAGAAGGGGCAGGGCCCATCCCGCCCGCACGGAGCCAGCAGCTATTTACAAACCGAAACCAGGAGAAGCGAAGTGACTGCGGCCAGAGTGACTCCAGGCCCCCCGGCCCCCACTCCTCCCCGCGGCCCCCTCCCCCGCTCCGCATGGCTTCCTCTTTCCTTCCCCACACAGCTCCCCAACCTCCCACTGCCCCGGCCAGCTCTCTCTGGACAACCTGGCAGGACCTCGCAGTGACCCCCCCACCTGCCCCATCCCCGGCCCTTCAGCCACTTGCTTGGAGAAGCAGGGGGTCCTCTTCAGCTCCTCACCGCCCCGCTCCAGGACCCCATGAGCTTGGGCTCCTTGGAGCAGCCCCCTCCCACTGGGGCCCGGCCCACTCTGGCCTGCCCAAAGCACATTCCCACAGTTCTCAGTTCCCCTTCGTGACTGGAAAAGCTCCAGCCCCGATGGCCGCCATGACGCTGCTCGGCCCTGCCCGAGGGTAGCCGCTCCAGGGGCCCCTTGACCTTTCCCGGGTTGGGGGGGTGGGGGCAAGGAATCTGGGGTGCTGCGGTGGGCCTGGGGGCACCCGGGGCCTTCCAGGGGGCTTGTTTCTGGGTGGGAGGCCCCAGCCGCCTACTGTCTTTGAGCTGGGTTTCAGCCCCCTCATTCTGCTGGTGTGGGTCACAGGTCCTCTTGCGGGCCAGAGTTGAGCTGGGACGGATGGACGCTGGGCCTGAGACCACGGCTCACGCTGCTTAGGAACTGGCAGGCAGGACTGGCGCTGCAGCAGGGGATTGTTCTAGGAAGAGACAAAAGACAACACAAGGAACACTCGTTTCAGATCATGGACGAGCTCTCATGATGACGCAGAGGGGGGTCAGTTCTTTTTGTCCCCAGATAGAGCCTGTCCCACCATCTCCATCAGAAATGACTCTGGGGCGCAGAGGGCGAGGCGAATGTCCCAGGCTACACAGTGGGCAAGCGTCTGGACTGGGAGTCAGGGTTTCCTGACACCGAGTCCCCTCGTCTGTCCATCTGACTGGCCCTCGCTCCGTCTCATCCGTCTGTCTCCTTCCCCGGGGAGGACACAAGTTTCCCAGCCCCAGGGACAAGGCAGGAAGCCAGGCTGGCCCGAAGCTTGAGGGGGACGCAGGCCTTGGACGCTGGAGCTGCCGGACGGGGTCATCAGCGGCCCAGGTCCCCCTCCGCTGCCCCAGGGGAAGGCTCTGCCTGCCCCACTCCATACCTCCCACCAAGTCCCAGCTGAAGCGGAGCCCTGGCTCCCACCCCGCCTCAGCCCCAGCCAGCGGGCCGCGTTTCACCTAAACTCTCCGAACGTCAGAATCCTCTTCGTGGATTGTCGGTCCTCAAACACAGAGCACCCACTCCTTGCCAGCCGCCTCAGATGCAAACTGTCTCTAGAGCTAGGACATGGCACCTGCCCCAGTCCTGTGCGCACGGCGGATGAGTGACAAGGTGCTGAGAACTCTGGGAGGGAAACTGAGGCTGGGGCACCCCAGGAGAAGGTGACGGGCGCTTCCTGGGGTGAGGAGCGGCCCCTCAGGTGGGGTAGGAAAGAGGTCCCCAACAAAAGCCTGGGGGGACAGGCTCCCCATGCTGAGTCCCACCCCTGGGCCTGAGCTCTAGTGGTTCCCACAGTTCAAGTCGAGTGCCCCTTCTTCCTCTGGGCCCAGTGAACTCCTGTTCATCTGTCAGGGCCCATGGACACACCATAGTATGACCAGGCCTGGCCTGGCGTCATGGCTCCTTGCCTCCTTCTTCCCACCAGGAGGCCGGGCCTCCTTGGTCACGACGCCCTTGCCGGCCCCACCCAGCAGGCATCTGCTCCCGGGCTGGAGCCCCCGCCGTCCTCTGCTCCAAAAAGCACCGTTTCCCTTTTCTGGGTGACCACACGCCATGCACAGGGAATTTCCACCTCAGCCTGCGGAGTCTCTGATTCACCCAGGCCCCTTATGCATTTAACTCCTTCCCGGTACAGGCCTTCCTACTCCTTGCCCCTCGCGCTTGCCCGGGACCCCTAGACTGCTTCGAGGTAGCCTGGGATCCCACAGCCTGGAAATCAAGTCAGCGCCTCAGTCACCGGCCCCCTCAGCACCCTCCCACTCACGCACCAGGCACACAGACCCCTGTCCTGCTGGCTCCCGGCACGCACGCTGGGGCAGCTTTGGGCTGAGAGCACAGACTCTGGAGTAAGATAAGCCTGGTCCGACCCTGATTCTGGCTCTTTCTGCTTTCTGGCCTGGAGCGGTATAAGCGTCGGCTCTGAGGCCCATTTCCATCTGTTAAAATCGATCCCTGTGCCGTCGCTTTGTTGTAAATGTCTAGCACGCTGGCCCACGACCGGTACTTGATATCGATTACCTTCTTCCTACCATAGCGTCCCTACTCCAGACCTGGGGCCCCTAGGTCTTCTCCCAAGAGCTGGCTGCTCAGGCAGGGAGAAGGGCAGAAGTGCAGGCAGGGCAAAGGAGGGCGAGAGGCTGCTCTCTCAAGGCTCTCCTCCGCCAGCTTCTCGGCTCCTCACGTTGCTCAGCTTTTCCAAGGAGGCTTTGGAAAGGCCAGGGGGTTGGCGCTTCCAAGGAACTGAGGACCGTAGAGATCCTGAGCCCTCGGAGACAGGGCCGAGCCTTCCTCCTCCAGAGGGATGCTGGGTGCGTGCATCACATAGAAACATCTCCAGTGCAACCTCTAATTCTCACAGTCCCCTGGGGGGTATCCTGCTGTTGGCCCTGTTTTACAGATGACGATACCGAGGCTCTGAGAAGTGACTTGCCCTCAGCCACGTGGCGAACACAGGGCAGGGATAGGATTCAGAATCAAGGTCTCTAGAGCCATACTCCTAACCTCCACGAGGTTAGGAGGATCACTCAGCATTTGTGGAGGCCAGTGAGGGAAACGCGCGCTGATTTGAAAACCTACTGTATATGAGGGGAGGGCTCACACAGAGTGTCTCTTTCTGTCCTCTGGACCGTGCTGCGGCTGGGTCTTGGCCCCTCTATAGAATCGAGGCCTCTGAGCTTCGGGGAGGGAAGGGGCTACACTGCCAGTGGTAAGGAAGAATCCAGGGGTACCTGGATAGGAGAGGATGGTGCCGGGGGCTCCACAGAAGAGGGGGGCCTGGCGGCGGCGGGGGGGGGGGGAAGTGGCTCCTGGTCTCAGTGAGCCAGCAGGGCGGGTGCTGCCCGTGGTGAGCAGGAGGAAGTCGCTGTGGGTGGCGGTGGGTTTGAGGTGCCGGAGGCTGAGTGATGTGGCCAGGAGGTGAGCTCCCCGTCTGAATGGCCTGGCCAACAGGAGACAAGGGTGTGCAGCAGGGTGGGGGGGGGAGCTGAGATTCAGGGCATGGCAGAGATCGGGCCACTCTGGAGATCTCTGCTGCTTGGCCCCTGGGGCCGGGGAGCTGGTGGGAGTGTTGGGGGGGAGCAGGGAGGTGGGCAGGAGCTGGTGCAGAGTTCGAGGAGGGATTCAGTAGGGCGGGGGAAAGATGGAGGTGATCTGGGAAGGGAGCGTCTGGGGAGACAGCCTGGAGGAGGCGAGCCCTCAAAAGATGGAGGAGGAAAAAAAAAAAAAGATGGAGGAGGCCTTTGAGTGTGAAAGGGGGTGGGAAAGGCCGTGGGAGATTGAGAAAGAGGTTCTGGGAATGTTGAGTAGCGTCTTTGGGCTGGAGGTGGGGGCAGGGCTGGCCCACTCAGGGTGGGGGAGGGTGGGAGAGGCTGGCCAGGGTGCTGGGGAGTGGGGGGTGGGCTACAGCACAGGACTCGGAGCTTTGGACTTCAGCCTGTGAGCAAGCCAGAGGCAAGGAGCACTTTTAGGTAGGAAAGCACCCATCCACAGAAGCACACGCCCCAGGGCCACCCCCACACCCCCCTGGGCCAGCTGTGTGTCCTTGGGCAGCCCCCTCGCCAGCTGAACCCCGTGACCCTTGTCTGTAAAACGGTACTGGTAGTAAATTCACAGGGTCATGGGAGGTGGGGTGAGTTAATGCCGGGCGACGAGGGCCTCAGCCGGTGGGGCTGGTCGCCTTGGTCCCAGCCCCTGGCACTTTATGGGCACCTGCCCTGGGTACCACCCGGGTCTCCAGCTGACCTGGTTTAAGCCTCGCCTGTCTCTCGAGTGGCTGAGGCATGGACCCCCCTTCTGAGCCCCAGTTTCCTCGACTGTCCCAGGGGGAATGATAAGAGCCCCAACTTCAGATCTGAATGAGAAAGTGAACTCTGCAGTGGAGCTCCCATTCTCCCGGAGTCAGGACCAGATTCCACACGATGCACAACATCCCTCAGCATCCCCCACCCCGCACCCAGGCTTCTCACCTCCTCCCCCTTCCACCCCGGCTCCGCTCACACTGGCCCCTTGCTGGTCCCCCCGCCTGGAGCTCTTCTCCCAGGTGTCTGCTTGGCTGGCTCGCCCACTTGTCCCCAGGATTGGTTCAGTGTCCCCATTGTCCATGTCTCCCCGAGGCCGGCCCTGCTCCCCTTCACGCTGCAGAGGCGCCCCCCCGCCCCGCCGCCACCCCGAGCTGGGCAATCCCCTTTCCTGTGGCGCTTGCCTCCTTCTCGCCGACTCCGTGTGTCCCCTGCCACCCCCCCACCCCCGCCTGCTCCAGAATCAGCCCCTGGAGGACAGGGGCCTTTGCCTGTTTGGTCGCCTGACCCCTGGAGGCCCTGAGCAAATATTTGTCAGATGTCCTCACGGGCTCCAGAGGCAGCCCCGCACTCAGACCTGCGCTCAGAGCTTGGAGGGGCCCAAGGAGCCCCTCCCAGTGTCTCAACCATGAGAGGAAGTTGCAAGATGGCCATTTCTGTACACGGCTCAGCTCTTTCTGGTCATCTTTCCCAGCTCGCTCTCTGAGGTCTGAGTTCTCCCACACACCCCGTCGCGTCCCGCCGGGCCCAGCCACTTGCAAGAGTGGAGGGCGTCTGGAGCTCTTTGGGGCTGAGGGTGAGGGGTCTGTGAGAGAAGGGGTCACGACGTTCCCCCATGTGCACTCAGCTTCGAGGACATGGGCCCCATGTTTCCTGTTGCCTGCCTGCCTTGTGATTGCAATAGCACCCGGCCTACCCCAGCAGTCGCCCAGCCCAGGGCAGGCAAAGGCCGCCCAGTGCTCCACCAGCCAGGCTGCCTGACCGCGTGTCCCTCTCTGCAGGGCCCAGCCCTGCATGGCCGCCCGCTTGTCCCGTGGGAGTGGGAACAGCACTGTCATGGGCTGCTGGTAGGAGGATAAGTGGGGGAAACCTTTACTCAAGGCAATGTGACAATATCGCTATTGTTTAATCACTCAGTCGTGTCCGGCTCTTTGGAGACCCCCATGGCCTGTAGCCCGCCAGGCTCCTCTGTCCATGGGATTTCCCAGGTGAGAATACTGGAGTGGGTTGCCATGCCCTCTTGCAGGGGATCTTCCCAACTCAGGGATCGAACCTGTGTCTCCTGCATTGGCAGGCAGATTCTTTACCACTGAGCCACCTAGGAAGCCCATGTTTATCTACCTATTTACTTGAGAGTTAAAAATGCATGCAGTACACTTAAAACTAATACAATGTTATATATATCCCTTATATTTCAACTGAAAAAAATGTCCCCTTTGACTTCAAAAGAGGTAAGTCAAAAATTTCTGTGTGTACTTCAATAAAAAAAATTAAAATTAAAAATTAAAGAACTATCTGGGCACCTACACTGATAGCATCTAAATAATTCTCTGATCTCTTTTCCAATGAGTTAAGATAGAAAGCTGTGCCATTTTCAATATTACTTATAATTGAAGGAGTTTTTGTTTCTATTTTAGGTAATTCCTGATACTATTTATTAGTGTCTGCAGGGAGGTACACAAAGATTTTTGACTCAGCCTGCATTTGGTTGTGGTGATTTTCTTTTCACTGTCAAATCTCTTAATCACGATTAGACTTGGAAAATTAAATATATAGAGAAAGAATTTATAGCATTTTAGTGTCTCTCCCTTTGAACATTTACTTCTGCAGAAGTAGGCCTTTCTCCCACATAGTTTTCATGTAAGGCAGAAAAATAAGTTTCGATCTTTACAGTTGAAGGATGTTTTTTAGAAACAAGCTGACGTGAAGGCATGAGGACTACCACCTGGAGCCAGCACTGCAATCCCTCCAGTCCTGGAAACGACCTTTCACCCACATCTTTACCCAACTATTCCAGTAGACACTCCCCTCTAGCTTTCCTGCAAAAAAAAAAAAAAAAAAAAAGCACTCCTCTTTGACCCAGTATTTCAACTTTGGGGCATTTATCCTAGACGTACACTTGCATGTGTGTAAATTAGCAAATTTTGCCTATTGCAGTATTATTTGTAATAGCAGAAGTCTGGAAACAACCTGAACATCCATCCGTAAGAGACTGGTTAAGTAACTTTTCAACAATAGAATGCTATACGGCAATGAAAGTGGACCACAGCTACATGCAACAAGAATGTTTACATTATGATTCTCTTCATATAAAGGTTAAAATCTGTTAAGGTAAAAGCTAAACTATATTGTTAGAGATGTTTACTCAAGTGGGAAATCTGTAAGGAAAACAGGGAAATAATTACTGGCAAAGTTAGGATAGTCTTCCTTCTAGAGAGAGGCAGAACATTTGGGGAAGCTTCTGAAGTGCTGGCAATGTTCTATTTCTTGACCTAGGTGATGGTTATGTATGTGTATACTTTATAATTATCTTTTAAATTGTACACAAATGTTTCCTGCAGTTTTTTGAATGAATGAGGTCTCTCATGATGTGACGCTACCACAGTTTACCCAAACCATAGAATACTATATAGTCATTAAAAAGAGCAAGACGGCTCTATATGCATGGGCATGGAATGGATTTAGTGGAGAAAAAACAACCAAAGTGAAGCATGATGTGTTAAGGGCGCTGCTTGCTGTGTGAAATTTAAAAAAGAATATATCTGCCTCTATGCTTCTGTCTGCTAGACTTCCTCTAGAAAAAATATCCAAGAATCAGCTAACAGGGAACGGGACCATTTCCCTTTTTGTTACCTTTTGAATTTCATACCATGTGTTTCTATTACCTATTGAAAAATTAACATAGTTTGAAAAACCGTTTCAGGGATTTCCCTGGTGGTCCAGTGGTTAAGAGTCTACCTTCCAATGCAGGGGACACAAGTTCGATCCCCGGTTGGGGAGCTAAGATCCTGCATGATGCCGTGGGGCAGCTGAGCCTGCACAGCGCAACTAGAGTCCACATGCCTCAACAGAGACCCAGCACGGCCAAAGATAAATAACGAATAAAAAGATAAAAATAAAAAACAGCTTTGCCTCTCATTCCCTGAAGCACCTAAGTGTTTTTCTTTAAATCTCAAACCAATTTCTTGCCCACAAAAACTCGAGCCACGGGGTCTACAAGACGCTCCTGGTGACTTCCAGCAAAACTGCGGACCCTGACCCTCTGTGCTCGGGCCTGCAGCCTCCCAGGACCCACCGTGCTCTCCGCTCTCGCCCTCCTGTGTCCTGCCCTCCCACCGCCCCACCCCGCTCTTTCTCGACTCACTTCTCTCTGCCCCCTTCTTTGGCTCTTTCTCCTGTTTTTCTGCCTTCCTCTTCTTCCCCAGTCCTGACCGCCTTGGCCCCTCTGTGTCCCCCCGGCCCCCTGTCTGCTCCGCACTGGTTCCTCGTCCTTCTGCCTCCTTTCCCTGCCCTGGGATCCCACCCTTCTGAGAGCCCCAGAAAGCAGGTCCAGGCTCCCCACTCACAAGCTGTGTGACCCTGGGCGAGTCATCAACCTCTTGGGCCTCAGGGTAACATGATTGTCCCGGTTCCATGAGATCACAAGAGTGGAGGCACTCAGCCCAGTGCTGGACACTCAGAAAATACCTATCCCCCCACCCCCCACCCCTTTGAAGGAGTTGCTAGCTCCTGGGGTTGTGGATATGATCAGACCCTTCCTGCTCTGCTTGAAATTGTTTAGAATCTGGGTCCTGCTATTCCTAAGGCTTAGGACCTCAGCAGGTCCCTTGGAATCCGAGCCTTGGGAAGAGGTTTCTGGTGTGCTTAGGGAGGATGGGCAGTGGGAGGAAGGATGGGGAGGACTTGCTGGTGTGGGAATGGATACAGGGTGCTCGAGCTGTGCAGAAAGTGGGAGCCAGTTCTGCCTGTTTCCCGAGATTTGGGGCCCTGGGGATTTTCTCTCCCTGGGCTTGGCCAGACTTGGGACAGTGGAGTCTCTCTCTTCTATCGTGGCCCCTTGAGACTTAGGGCTCAGGAACACAGAGCCGGCCTGGTCCGCTGCCTGCACTCACGGGGGAGAGCAATACACTGCCTCCTCGAGTGTGTGCGCGCTCAGTGGCTTAGTCGTGTCCGACCCTTTGTGACCCCACGACCCCTGTAGCCCGCCGGGCTATCTATCCATGGGATTTCCCAGGCAAGGAACAAGTTGCCATCTCCTCCTCCAGGGGATCCTCCAGACCCAGGGACTGAACCTGCCGATCTCCTGCGTTGGCAGGTGGATTTGTTACCCCCGCAATGCGCCTGGGAAGCCCGGACTCCCTGCCTGGGCCCAGCAGGGGCCCCTCAGCAGCTCCTGGAGGCAGCCCACGCCCCAGGCTTGGTACTCAAGGCTCTCCGCCGCCGGGTCTGGCCTTGTTTCCAGCCTGTTCCCGTCTTCTCTGCCACCTGCTGGCCTTGCTCTGGCCCTGGCGTGCTCCCCTGCGTGTGGCCCTGACCCGACTGACTATGCGCCTCTGCCCCTGGCACCTCCTGTGCCCCTGCCTCCCCAGAGCAGCGTGCATCTGCTCGCATGTCTGTTCTCTCTGTGGGCCTGCGAGCTTCTGGTGGCCCAGGGCACGCCTCCTTCATGTTCACGTCCCCTTGCCAGGCCCAGCAGATGGGAGACCTTCAGTAAAGCATTAGTGATTAAACAAATGAAAGAGAGATAAATAAGCATATAAGCAAAGAATGAATGAGTGAACACAGCAAGCAGGAGGTGGCCCTTGTGCAGTAGAGACCACCCTCAGCCGTGCAGTCAGTGGGGATGAGGCCTTCTTGATGAGAAAGTGGGGTCAGGGATGGCACAGATGCCAAGTCAGCCCGCCTCTCCCCTCTTCTTGGGGAGGGGCCTTGGTCAGGTTCCTAGGGAGTCCTGAGGACCAGTGCCCTAGACTTCTTGGAGAGTCCCAAAGGTGGAGGCAAAAAATCAGTGAAGGTGTAAGTGAAATAGGTCTAATGGTGAATCCAAACCTGCGATCCCTGGTCTTCGCTGCAAGCAAAGAAACACTCGGGTGTCTGGGATTCCACTGACAGGAAGGAGGCAGTGTTAGTGTGATTAGGACTTAGAGCAAAGGGTAAGACTTCACAGGAGAGGAGAGTGCGCTCTCAACGAGTTGGAGAACTGAGCTTACTAGAGACCAAGGATTTAAAAGTTGCCTCTATTCATCCTTCTGCCCTTCAGACTAGATCAGGAACTCCCTGAAGCCAGGAGTCTTGTTCAGTACCTTTCTCTTTTCCCAGCACTGAGCATAAACCCTGTGTGTGTTAGTCACTCGGTTGTGTCTGACTCTTTGTGAGCCCATGGACTGTAGCCTGCCAGGCTCCTCTGTCCATGGGATTTTCCAAGCAAGAATACTGGAGTGGGTTGCCATTTCCTTCTCCAGGGGATCTTCCCGACCCAGGGACTGAACCCAGGTTTCCCACATTGCAGGCAGACTCTTTACTATCTGAGCCATATCGTATGGGCATGAAGCCTAGAACTCAACTGATATTGGTAGAATGCATCAGTGGATGGATGGCTAGATGAATGAATGGACCAGTGAACGAACAGATTGATAGCTGGACATACGATGGATAAACAGATGGAAATGTGGATGAGTAACAAACGGATGGGCTGATAAATGAACATATAGATGGCTCAGTGGATGAGAAGATAAACAAATGGGTAGATGGATAATAGACTAACAGATAAATGGATGAATGAAGGGCTGGATTAAACTGAAAGACAAATGAATGTACGGCTGGCTTGATGGGTGAATAGATGGATTGACAAAACATAAATAAACGGATGGGAAAATAGGTGAATGGATAGACAGACAAGAAAAGTTTTTAAACTAGGAAGACTCAATTGACAGTCAGGCATTGGTAAGGGGTAGGGAAACTGAGATATGGAAGACATGGTGATCCTTGGGAAGATGGGAGGGGAGGGTGTAGGAACACTTCTGGTGGAAGGAAGGAGAAACCAGCATGATGCTGAGGACCAGGCCCCAAGGCCCAGCCCCAGGCTGGGTAGGACTGCGGTTGGGGGCCTACGGGCCCAGGAAGAGCCAGGCCTGGCAATCAGCAGGACGAGAGCCTTCGCCTAGCCAGGCTGACCCCAGAACGTGGAGGCCCCAAGGGGACACCCTTACCAGCTCCGATCCCCCAAGGAAGTGACTGTTGGCCACGTGGGGGGTCTCAAAAGTAGTAGGCATCTGCCGGATTCGGGGTGAGAGAGCCTCCACAGGCCCCAGGGGGCAGCAAGGCCCTCCTCGTGGTGAAGCCAGCCTTCCCCACTCCCATTCTCCCGCCCTACCCCAGCCCTCAAGGCCGCCCCTCACAGTCCCGACTTCCTCTGGGCAGGGGCCTGGCCCCCTCGGCCTTCCAGGCCAGCCCCTGGAGCACCACCTGCCCCAGCCGGCCAGAGACTTCCTGTAGCGCAAGAGATTTATGCAAACGGGCTGGGGTGGTGATGTCACCCCAAGGGGACTATCTCCCAGCGGCAGGCCTTCGATAAAATCAGGAACTTGCGCTGGCCCTGCAATGTCAAGGGAGGGGGCTCACCCAGGGCTCCTCTAGCTCAAGGGGCAGGCCCGAGCCCTGCGCCCGCCCCGAAGCGGTCCAGCCCACCCCCCCACACACCCCCGACGGGGCGCCCCATCCCCAGGGGCTCCGCACTGGCCCCCACCGAGGCAGGGGACCTGACCGGCTCGGAGCTCGGCTGGATGTTACAGGCGTGCAAAATGGAAGGGTTTCCCCTCGTCCCCCCTGTGAGTATCGGGACTACTCCACCAGCCCAGCCCACGGCCCTCGGACGCCCGCCACCTGCCCGCCAGCCCGCCGCCTGCCTTCCCCTATCAGTGGGAAGCTGGTGTTTCCTCCCTGGAGCCCCGGGGCCTGAGACCCGAGCAAGGGGGCCATCGGCCTCCTCGGAGCAAGCACGCCCCGGCGGGCTGAGGGCCGGGCCCACAGTGGGGCTGTGATCGATGGGGCCTGAGCGGTTATTTATAGATGGGGCTTGGGTGGCAGCCGGGGCTCCAGGGGCCTGAGGGGCGGCCGGGCTGAGGGTGGCGAGGGTGGCGAGGGTGACGGGGAGCTGGGAAGGCTGGTGTGGAGGGAAGCCAGTCCCTGGGACGGTGAAGGGCTGGCAGGCAGGAGGCCAGACGTCTCGGGCCCTGGACTGGGTGCTCCTGGAGACCGAGGCTGCCTGAAACCTGGGTCCCCCGCCACCCAGGCGCAGAGGACGTGCCTGTTGACCCGAGAGGTCTGGGCCTTGGGCCCTGAGTGGCGGAGGCAGAGGTGGGGGCCGGGGCAGCGAGGGGAGCAGAGGCTCGCCAGGCAGCTGGGGTCGGGACTGCAGAGAGGAGGGCAGAGCCATCCTGGGGCTGAGATTGGGGCTGGGGGAGGGCCTCGTCCAGGGAGAAACGGGGGTGAGGGCAGCGGCTGAGGCCGGAGGTGAAGAAGCGGGCGTCCCAGGGGACCCCAGGGACGGCAGGGCGGCCGTCTGGGGCAGACCCCCTCCACTCCCGCTGTAGGTGACAGTTGCAGCCTCCGGCAGGTGTCAGACCACCAGGCCCCTCTGAGAGGACCCCCTCCCTTTCCTCACCCCCTTCCCCACTCAGCTGGGGATGGGGAGCCCTGGGGGGTAACTGGGAAGGGCTTGGCCGGGCCTGCCCATCTGACTCAGCTTTCCCGGCCTGGAGGCAGCTCCCTTCCCCCCCTACCCCCACGGGCCACCCCACCCCAGGCAGGTCCCAGAGCCCCAGGGAGGCACCCCAAGCTTGACACCCTGCTGTGGGGTTGTGCTGTCTCTCTGCAGACCTATGCCAGGCTCCATGCAGGGCTGGGCACAGATGGGACAAGCCAGCCGGCCTCTGACCTGGCCCTGGCACCCCCGTCCCCCACCTGGAACCTAGAAGATGGGGGAGACAGGAAGGGGTGTGATGGGGGGTGGTCCCAGGAAGAGTCCACTCTGCCTCAAGAGAGCCAGAGGGCCTGGGTCCCGGCCACCCTGTCTCTGACCCTTGACCTCTCAATCCCTGAATTCCAGCTAGAGCTGAACAGGAGACATGTCCTCCTGGGCTCCACGGGAGCCCCTGAGGCCCCTGGCCCAGTCTAGGGGCAACGCAGAGTGGGTCTTGGGAGGGTGGGCTCCCAAGGCAGCTCTGGTCCCCAAGCCAAGCCCTGGAGGCCACGGTGACTGTTGTGCAATGCTCGGGCACACGCACGGGGGTGGGGAGAGGCCTGGTGACTGTTGGGAAGCCTCTGGGTGTGCATGTCCCAGCGCCCGGCCAGGCAGTGGGGTGCGGGGAGGGGGAGAGGCATGGGGAGACGGAGGGAGGGAGACCAGGGAGTGTCCCCAGAGGACAGGGGAGGAGGGAGAGGCCCCCAAAGCCACAGCCCCAGCGCTGCGCGGGGTGAGTCCTGTAAAGCCCATCAGAGTGGGCAGCCAGCGTGGGGGTGGGGGCCCTGAGCTGGCCTGGGGCCTGGACATCGGGCAGCGAGAGAGCCTGGGGGCCCGGGGAGGGGGTTTCGGCAGGAGGACAAGCCTGTGTGCTGGGCGATGGGCATGCAGGAACATGAGTGACCGAGGATGGACACAGGCCTGAGTGTGTCTGTCAGCGTGCTTGGAGGCGAGGGATGGATTCCTGTGTCAGCCCCAGGGACCCTGCGAGCACCTTTAGGCGGGTGCATACTGGCATGTGCGCCTGGGGTGAGTGTGAGGGCTGCGAATGGACGTGTGTGTGAGAGCACACGTTGGGAGTGTGGGAAGAAGTCTGTGGGGGAGTTTGTGTGAGTTTGGGGGGGTGCATAGGCACATTGGTGTGACCGTGAGCGGGTGAGTGTGTGAGGCTGGGACCTGGGCACGCCGTGGAGTGTGAGTGTGAGGTGGTTGGGGGAGCCGCTGGGCTGTCCCCTCAAACCTGTCTTCTTTTGACCTCTGACCCTCCAGGGCCTCTGTCACCCCCTTTCCGCCGGAGCCGAGGCTCTTGCGCCCCTGGGTCCCCGGCTTGTGCTCTGTGTGACCTCTCCTCTGGCAAGCAGACGGAGGGCTGTAGGCCTGATAAAGGGGCTCAGTGTGGACCCAACACCCTGGGGGGGTCCCCCGCCGCAGGCCGAGCCCTGACCCCCTCCTCTCTCAGCAGCCATCGGAAGACCTAGTTCCCTATGACACGGATCTCTACCAGCGCCAGACGCACGAGTATTACCCCTATCTCAGCAGTGATGGAGAAAGCCACAGCGGTGAGTAGCGGGCCCCACCCGGCCCCGACTTCCCCAGCCTGGCCTGCGCCCCAGCGCCGCTGGGTTCTGGGAAGGGAAAAGCAGACCCTTCCCGAGGCTTCTGTGGAATCCCGAGCATCGGATCCAGTTAGCTCTCAGGGATATGGATTCACTATCCTAAGTCCCCACGCTCCTGCTCCCCGCCAACATCCCACACCCCGAGCGCATGTTTCTGGAGCATCCTTGGTGTGCAGGCATGGGTGAGCCTCTTCATGTTTTATCTTCTCATCCACTCCTTTGGGCCTGTTTACACCTGACAGACCAGGCAGAGAGGCTACGGGACCTGTACGAGGAGGCGCAGCTGGCCGGTGGGACCCAGCTCTGTCCCTCCAGGTCCAGTGCTTTCTCATTTTTTTTTTTTTGGCTTCACTTAGTCGCTCATTCATGTCCAACTCTTTGCGGCCCCACGGAACTGTAGTCCGCTGTGCTCCTCTGTCCCGGGGATTCTTCAGGCAAGAGTACTGGAGTGGGTTGCCATTTCCTCCTCCAGGGGATCTTCCCCACCCAGGGATCGAACCTGCGTCTTCTTCTCCTCCCCTAAACCCCCATCTTCCTCTCCATTCTTGTCACCGCCCATGACCCTGAACTCCCCTCTGGTGCAGCCCCAGGCCCTGCTGTGTGTGACTCACAGCGTTTGTCTCTCGACATTTGGGCTGCATAATTCTATGCTGTGAGGTCTGTCTTGTGCCTTGTAGAGTATCTGCCAGCATTCCTGGCTTCTGCCCACTGGATGCCTGCATTCCTGCCAATCATGGCAACCAAAAATGTCCCCAGAGTTGCCAGATGTCCCCTGGAGGTGGGGCGGTGGGGTGCAGAAGCGCTCCCACTTGAGAGCTGTTCACTTAGCAGGGGCTAAAACCGTGTCTGCTGCTGGTGGGGGTGAGGGTGGGGCCTCGACCAGGGCCTTTTTCTGTCTGGGTCTAACTGCCCCCCACCCCAAAGCCCAGGCTCAATCCTAAAGCAAATTCAGGGGAGGGGAGAGAGACCTTTAGTGTCTGGGACCTGGGCAAGGGGCTAAGAGAGGTCACCAGTGGTAGATCTCGGTGTATTGATGGAATATGTCTGAACCAAAGGCGAGGTGGCCCAGTTAATGGGTCTTCACTGAGGGATTCTTCAGGGAGTCTGGAGGCCTGGGCAAGCCAGATAGCAGGATGTCTGCAGCCCCAGAGGGACAGACATGCTCTGTGCCACAGCCAAGGAAGGTTTCACCCCCGAGGGCTTCACCTGGGGGCTGTTCACACCTGGAGCTCCATTCTGCAGGCACACCTCTGGCAGTTTAAGCCTGATGTCTGTACCCAGAGATGCCATATGTGGCAAGTCCTTATTTAGGACCCTCACATCCAGATGGCAAAGCCTGCAAACAGTTTTGCCTGGAACTCACCCTTGACAGCCATTCTAAAGACTGTAACTGGAAGCCATATCTTGGGAGTAAGGGGTGGACATACTTCAAGGCCATATCTGGGAACACACAGGCTCCTTTCAGAACTTGAGGACTAGAAAGACTTTAAAAACATCCTTTATTTGCCCGCCCCCCCCCCCATTCTTTTAAATTTAAATTTTATACTTCTACAAGAAATGCATCCTTTCTGGGGAAAATCCAGAGATGGTTTAGAGTCTCCCTCCTCCAACTGTACCTCCAGCTCCCGCTGCAAGGGTCGCGGGCTGACTGTCCCTGACTCAGACACCAGCCCTACACCTACCCGGAGTCTGGGACCTGAGCGGGTCCCTCCTTGAGGACTGGCGCCCCCTGGTGGCTCCAGGCAACAGGACCGCTCAGGCCCTTGCAACCTCAGGGCTGCCTCTGACCCCTTCTAGCCCCAGGGATCCTTTCTCCCCTGGCCTGATCCCTTCTCAGTCTCCCTGGGTCTGAGTGCCTTTCCTTTAGGTCTACCGAAGCTGAATTCTCCCCTCCTGTAATACAGGGGTGCTATTTATATACTCTAGAAGCCTGCTAGGCCTGGGGCTGGCTGATGGAGGGGGCACTGTAGAGATAGCCAGTGTTTTCCCAGCTCGTGCTCAGGCAGATCCCTTTTATCTGGGGTGACTCCCAGCTGGCTGCCTGAGCTCCCCGTCTGGGTCCTTTCTGCAGACTCCTTCCGAGTCCTCAGATGCTCTGGTCCCTATTCACCACCACTTCCCCCACCCCCACTCCTGTCATCACAGTCCATCTGGGCATCCGTTCTCTCCCTTCTAATACCTGTTGGAGGTAATTTCTGAAGACTCGAGAGTTGAGACACCCCCAAACTCTCCCACCAGCTCCCGCATGCCTTCTGCATGTACCCTTGCGGGAGGTGAGGCTTGGTGGCAAAGGCTGGGGGGCCAGACCTGCCTCGAGTCCTGGCTCCATCACTCACCCGTGTGTAACCTTGGAGCAAGTGACTTAACCCCTCTGCACCCCCGTTTCTGCATCTGTAAAACCGAGAACGTGAAAACACCTCTCGGAGTTGCAGTGATTCAATGCAGTAATACATGCAATGTGTGAGGTAATATGCTGAGTCGAAGGCCCAATAAACTTTCAGGACAGGGTGTGTTAGTTTTACTGAATATCCCCCCGGGGGGAGAGGTGAAGCAGGTCCACAAGGAGTGGAGAAGCACAGAAATTTCTGTGACATCAACAGGCTCATTTCCTGACAACCCAGCAGACAGCGAGCCTGTCCGCCACTCACCCAGCCATCCGCTCCCCTCCCATCCGCCCAGCCCCCCCGCAGCCACCCATCCTTCCAAGGCTTGTTGTCCAGTCCACTTGTCCACTTATCCCCTCACTTGTCCATCTCCCAAATAGCCCCTGATGACATGCCGTGGACCTGACCGTGTTCTAGGCGCTGGGTTTGCCACAAGGAGCAGGCCAGGCAAGGCCACTGCCCTCATGGAGCTTGCTAGTCCAGGGAGGGAGAGAGATGGGGAACAGTTGAATTGGCAGACATGCTCTAAAGACGTCCTGTAGAAAGCAGAGTAACGTGAGTCAGGCTCTGGCATCTGCATGTGAGGGCCCTAAAGAAGGACTCGCCACAAGTGGCATCTCTGGGTACAGACCTCAGGTTTAAACTGCCAGAAGTGTGCCCACAGAACGGAGCTCCAAGGGTGAGCGGCCCCCAGGTGAGGCCCCCGGTGGAAATCTGAGTGCCCTGAAGGAACACGAATGCACAGACAGGGAGGGACCAGTGTTCTAGGAGCAGGAACAACAGGTGCAAGAGCAGCAGGGACCTCGGTGGGGACCGGGGTGGCCCAGGAGCACAGGCAGAAACGACATGAAGGGAGGCCAGTCTGCAGGGGAGGCCGCACAGGCCCGAGGACTGCGGTGGAGCTTGTCTTGTTTCCCACACCTGATGGGAAGCCAGGGGAGGGGGCTGAGCAAAGAAATGACACGATCGGAATAACCTTTTGTACGTGTGTGTGTCTGGTAAATATCTAAAGAAATTATGGATGTTTAATTTTAATTATTCAAACAAGAAATACCCACTGCAAAGAATTTTAAAATACAGCAGCATATCAAGGAAAATATTATGACCACTTTTCATTCTTACCCCTCATTGATAGCAATCTTGGTCTATCCTAGCAGATATTTTATTTGACAGTGTATAATCCTATATGTTTGTAAGTGTATACATCCACACATATTCTATCCATTCAGAAATGAACTATAAAAAAAAAAGAAATGAACTGTAGTATCATGCGGTTCTGCAATCTGCTACTTTTTTACATAAATTTATCAGAGTTGTTTCTCCATGGCCTATGCTGGGCATCAGAGATAGTTAAAAGCTATTTTTCCAGTCTTTCTGTTACAGAGCTATGGAAGTATATACATGAAAGTTTGAAACAGAGACTTAGAACAGCCTTTATTTATTAATTCACAAACATTTATTGAGGGATTTCTATATGCTGGGTGGACATGAATCTAGCTTGATTTTTTACTTAGAGAAATCTATTGTACTATGAAAGATGAGTATTTGACTTTCTAGTTATTTATAGCACACACACGTACTTCTTCACACATACCAAAATGGTCACAGTAACTTTTCCCCTTTTTTTCATTTTATTGCTGTATGATATACAACATAAGTGTATGAGTTTAAGGTGTAACAGCTAATGACTTCATACACCTATACATTGGGAAATGATTACCACGTAAGTTTAGTTAATATCCAACTCTTCATACAGTTACAAAAAAATTTTCCCCTTGTGATGAGAACTTTCAGGAGATGCTCTTAACTTTCGAAGTTACCATACAGCAGTTAACTCTAGTCATCCTGTACATGACATCCCCAGGACTTATTTATCTTACAACTGAAAGTTTGTACCTTAGACCACCATCACCCAATTTCCACCCCCCCCCACTACTTCTGGCAACCACCAACCTGACCTCCTTTTCTGAATTGTTATTTTTTAAAAAAGATTCCACATATAAGTGAGATCATACAGCATTTGTCTTCCTCTGTATTCTATTTTTAATTTTTTTGCATTTTTTGGCCATGTCCCACATGTAGGGGCTTCCCTGGTGGCTCAGAGGGCAAAGAATCTGTCTGCAATGGGGTAGACCTAGACTCGATCCCTGGGTCAGGAAGATCCCCTGGAGAAGGGAATGGCTACCCTGTCCAGTCTTCTTGCCTAGAGAATTCCATGGACAGAGGAGCCTGATGGGCTGCATTCCATGGGGTCACAAAGAATCGGACACGACTGAGCAACTGGCACTCAACATGCACGTCATGCGGGCATTTAGTGCCCTGATCAGGAATTCAACCCTGGCCCCCTGCACTGGGAGCATAAAGTCTTACCCACTAGACCACCAGGGAAGTCCCTCTGTCTGTATTCTAACTTTGTTGAACTGACGTGTGAATTTTCCATGGTTTGGACCTTGTGAATATTGCTCACAGTTGAGCCACACTGTGTAATTTGATTACTTTCTCATCGCTGTGTTTCTAAGGGCTGAGCGGCAGTGCCACAGGGCCCCCGCATTGCAGCCA